TCTCCCTCTCTCTCTTTAAATATATATATATAATATATATATATATATATATATAAATTGTGTCAGGAAAGAGCAGGACAGGAGATAATAGGAACAAAATTTGAAATCTGGAAAGCAAGTAGAGACTACTTACTTAAGCAGCTACAAGAAAACTGGATCCTGAGCTACTAATGGGGAAAATAAGACCAAGGGTAAGGAGCTAGAATCCAGGAGGGGTTAAGGGAGAAAAGAAGAAAAGGTGGGGGTCAGGGGAAGAAGAGAAAATATTGAGATCCCCAGAAGAGGAAGGAACTCTGCCTGCAGACTGCCCCTGAACTCAACACTGCAGCATTGACTTGTGCTAGAAATTCCAACTTGTCAGCTGCCACAATTGAATTAGGAAATTTATTAAACACACACCCTCTTCCCCACTCTCTATGTTTGTATAGATACATGTACTGTTGGCCCTCCATATGAATGGATTCCACATTGAAAATGGAGATTGAAAATGGTTTTTAAAAAATACATTTGTACTAGACATGTGCAGGCTTTTTTCTCATCATTTATTCTCTAAACAATACAGCATGACAATTATTTACATGGAACATTCATTGTATTAGGTATGATAAATACTATTAAAGATGATTTAAAGTGTATGAGATGTGTGGCACCATTTTATATGGGGGATGTGAGCATCGGTGAATTTTGGTACCTGAAGCGAGTCATAGAGTCAATCCTCAATGGATCTAAGAGATATATACATATGTAATAGAAAGCAGAATATCCACACAAGAGAATCTCATAGATGTTTTTTTATACTTTCTTGGAGATGCCAAGATAAAATTTGTGTACCAATTGTGGAGAGCAACCAGTACAGATTAAGCAATATGACTGGCACAGTGAAGTGTCTCATCCTCATAATCTTTACCTCTTTTCAACCTACAAAAGTTCTAAAGAACATCTTCAATCACAATAAAGGAACAGACTCAGAAACAGAAGAAACTAAATAAAGGAAATGGGAAATAATACAGGAGAAGACAAAGAGGATTCTATAGATAACAGAAAAGGAATAGCTAAGATGACAGCATAAACAGCAGCCAGCTCAGGTGAAAGGAGAATGTTTGTTCCAAGCCAGAAATAATATGAGCTACTAGAAATGTTATGATATAATTGAACTTGAGGATAATTGTACTAAGAATTTATTTTAAATAGGGGGGATATGTGAAAAAAATAAGGCAATCAATAACTTCAGGCACACATAAAATAAGAAAAAAAAACAGCAATCATACTCTATGATTTGTGAAACATTTGAATGGCTATTATAAAGTATTAAATATTGTATTTTTTTGGAAGATAGTGAAGACAAACAAAGTATGACAAGGTAAGCTTTAAATAATCATCTATATTAATAGAAATAAGAGACAACATCTAAAAATGATGCATCAAAAGATAGCATTCATTATTCACACGTTATTTAGAAATACATGCTGGGAATGTGGTTCTCTGGTAGAGTGCTTGCTGACATGCATAAGGCCCTGGGTTTGATTCCCAGCACCACACACACAAAAATAATAGAAATATATCAATTCCCCTAAAGTATGTGCATGTACTAATTAAAAAACTAATTAATTTGAAGATATAAAATTTATATTGTAAATGGATAGCACAGTGCAAAATTATTAAGCAATGAAAGCTAACAAAAATAAACCTGTTCAAAATAATTTTCAGAGTCAATAAAATACATGAATGAAAATTTCTAATAGCTCAAACCTCAGATTTTTGATATCTCTCTTGATTTATAAGAACTGTTTCAGGTCATCTTCAACCTGGTCTTTATTATTTATGTGTGTGAACACATGGTCGTAAATCCTTCTTCTCTCTTTCACTACCAATGCTGTTCAGCTCAAATATTTCAGTTCAAATAATATGTGTATGGTTGGTGGACATAAACTCTTAAAATATATATTTTACTAGTTTTATCAGCATTTTAAGTGTGTGAGGAGAATCTCTTCCATTCTTATGCAAATGTCAGAGGCCAAATTTCACCTTTTAAATGCCTAGAGGAAAAAAAAATCCCTGCACACAAAAGTGGCCCAATTAAAGCTCAGTGAGGAAAAAGGCAGTCCTTGGAATGTGTCTGAGCTTTTCTGTAATTCAACTCCCTCTTCTGTAACCTACTCTTGACTCTTGATGACGTTGAGGATTCCACTGATTCTTGTTTTTCAGTGGTTTGCATCCCCAGAATGAGGACTTCCAAGTCTCTTTTGATGAGCATTTGTTAAATGAAAGAATTGTATTGTCCTCTTGAAACATCATTGTGAAATTTAATTACTGTCCATCCCTCTGTAGAGTCCGGATGCCTTCCCCCAGATCATGGAGAAAACCTGATGCCTAATCATTTGGTTCAGTATCTGCCTACCCCACTCAACCAACACCTCACGAAGAAGCTAGGCACCAGTCACATAGCAAGGCTGGAGCTCAGTCTTACCAGGTTAGTGCTTAGAAACAGTCAGCAAGAAGCCAGAGCAGAGTGCATTAGACAGCCAAGAACAAATACCAAGGACACCATTTTTAAACCTCAAATTAAAAGGCCAGAGGAATATAAAAGATTAGGGCTACAGTTTTTATTAAGCATCCGAGGAAATATGAACAGGTAGGGAGGGAATGATGGAGAATAGTTCAAAGAGACAAAAGGTCACTATGGCTATAGTACTGAGGTAAGGAAGGGGATAGGAGCATTGAAACAAAAAATGCCTAGAGTTATACGAGGTAGCTTTTAAAAGACCTAGAAACACATTCATTCGTTCATTCAACAACTAGTCATTGAAATAGTTTTATGAGCACTCATTCATCAATCAACCTATGCTTACTATAAACCACATAGGCAATTATATCATTGTTTAATTTATTCACTCAACTGGTTTGGAATCTCTATCATGTCACTTTCTAGTTAAGTGACTATAGGCACCATACTCAGTTTTTTCATTAAATGAAGGGGAATAGTATTGGATATATTGTGAGCACTAGATAAGTCATGTAAATATTTAGAACACAATGTAATATTAAAAAAAGTCAATGAATTCCTATATTCCTATTTACTAAACATTATGAGTTGAGTTGTGTCACCAAAAGGTCGTCAAAATCCTAACTCCCATATTCATGAACAGAACTGTATATAGCAAATGGGGTCCTGCAGATGTAATCACATTAAAATGAGATCATTAGGGTGAGCTCTAATCCCTTTTAATTTCAGTGAGTGCAGAGGGATTCTTTTGTTTTTGTTTTTGTTTTTTTGAAGGAGTGGTGACCAGATTAGATGAAAGGAAGTCTAGGATCAGGAGAAAAAGGTGACAATGTTTCAAGGATGTGGGTACTGTCACTGATGTCAAATAGTGCCAAAAGCTCTAAATAAAAGGTAAGTGGGCTTGCTTTCAGCTAGTTGTTGTGATCTCATCAAGAACAATTTAAAATGAACTGATTGGAGCATAAAACATTAGGTTGAGGAGTAAGAGAAAGATAAGAGAGGTGACCTTGAAACTTAATTTAAAATGTAAAAATTCTTTGTTAATTCCAGTATAAGTAACAAGAATTTATTTTTTCAAAATGGGTAAATCAACTTTCAAATTTTCTTATACCTGGGACTGGGGATGTGGCTCAAGCAGTAACACGCTCGCTTGGCATGCGCTGGGCGCTAGGTTCGATCCTCAGCACCACAGACAAATAAAAAATAAAGATGTTGTGTCCACCAAAATCTAAAACATAAATATTAAAAATTTTTCTCTCTCTTGTCTCTTAAAATTTTTTTTCTTATACCTGTTCTCTTTTCACTTTTCTTGGAAATCCTGTTTAATTTCTGTTATTATTTAGTGAACTTATTTTCTTCTCTAAAAGGACAAATCCTTAATGAAAATTGTTAGATCTACATGGAAACTAAAAGCAGGAGAATTAACATTGGTCCCAAAATAAACATACAAATATATATATTATATTTTATATATATAGTTATAGATTAGCACTCAAATGATTGTTGAGTTGAATTCAACTACATAAAAGAATCATCTGGCTGAACAATGGTGAAAAGATGTAAATCCAGTTAGTCTTCTAACTGAGTGCAGGGGTACACATCTGTAATCCCAGTCACTCAGAAGCCTGATGCAGGAGGATTACAAGTTTGGGACCATCTTGGACAACTTTATGAGACCCTGTCTCAAAATAAAAAGGGCTGGAGATATAGCTCTATGGTAGAGCTCTTAGCTTTTGCCTAGCTTGTGCCAGGCCCTAAATTCAATCAATCCCCAGTACAGGGTAAAGGGAGGCCTCTAGGAAAGAGCCTTAAGTTATATCTAAACCATGTCCTAACTTTTATCATAATTATCAATAAAACCCAATAGTTTTATATTTATATCCTGGTGAATAAAAACACAAGTTGTTTAAGTTTTGTGTTTCAAAAGGTGATGTGGCCTTGTCTATATCCCTTTAACTGCTGATCCAATCTATCCAATGCAAGTATCTATACAAATAAAAGCAACAATTTGTAAAAAAAAAAAAAAATTGATTTGGCATCAAAGAAAAAAAAGAATATTGTTAAAGATAGCTTTTTCAAAAAATAAAAATATCCAGTAAAAGAGATGAGGATTACATTGATCATGTGGTTTATTTTCCTTTAAAAACATTCTCTATGAAGTTTATTATGGCTGAATTGAAAATGCCTCTCTCCCTCTCTCCATTCCTCCACATATTGCCATTAAAGTTCAGTGACACTTTGGTGTACCTACTCTTGTATATCCACTTTCCTCTACTACTTAAGCCTTTTGGGAGCAGAGACTGTATCATATTCATCTTTATATCCCTACCAATAGCACAATAACCAGGACTTTAAAATACATTAAATGAATAAATGAATTTTAATTATTTACTCAAATATATCCACTAATCTCTCTGTTTGTGTAATAAGAATTGGAATTTTCCATTGTCTTATAAAGATGACTATTTTCCCATAATGCATTTGGAGCATTATTAGTAAGACAATGGAAAAGAAAAATGGTACAGTTCATTTGAAATGCAAAGAGCAAATAAATAGCAGTTAAATACCAGACACTAAATGTTGCACATAAGTCAAGTAATAACAAGAATGCTTTTCTTAAAATTTGAAACATTGATGAGTGAGATTGTTATGGCATTAGAATTTTTTAGACTAAAAAGAGATTAATAGTTATATGCATTAAAAGAAGAAGAGAATAGTGAATTGGCAGAAACAGTTCTACTGGTGAAGACACCACAACTTTAAAGCATGTTATTTGGTACTATGAGTGATGGAAATGCATACGACTGGAGGAGAAAACAAGAACAGTTTTCTTTGATTACAAGAGTTACATATTTTAGAGTTTACTAGCTCCTCGGGGATTATAAATGGACCCACTCAGGAAGGGGTTATTACCACACTAAAACAAAACATAAGGAAACAAACTTTAAACAATGTTTAAATGTAGCTACCACTAGATACAATCACTGAATTGGACATTTATTTATTTGTCCAACTCTCTGCAATCATGATGAAAGAGTCAATGAGAATTTTCAAAGTTATTTTTGATCAATAAGAATTAAACAATCATGCATAGAAAAATGAAACTTCACTTCCATATATCTAAAAACATTTAATATGGCAAGACTCACTTGGTTAATATTAAAAAACCAGATAACATGTATCCAAAAATTCTTGTGGTATTTGGAACTACAGATGAAAGTATCCAATGGTCTTAAGCATGGTTCTGTAGTGCACCAAGTTATGCATTTCTGCAATACATGACAGACTTTACTAAAAAGTGTCAAGGGATGACAGTGATCATGTGTATATTTATTATGTCATCATACATTTATTGGGCACCAGGCCCTGATACTACTACTCTAGTGATAAGCAAAGAAGCAATTTTAAAGATATAAATATTTTTCTATATAAAACCATGCAAATATTTATCTGCTTATTGGAATTCTGAGTGAACTTTTCTGTCTACAACATCTGCCAGGAAATCTCACAAGAATATAAGTTTGCTTGTAGAATTTCTGACCCTTGTCCTTGGATGATATACTGTGATGTCAGTAATATTTGCAGCTACTGCATGAACAGTTTTCCTACAGAGATTTTAAAGTCAGACTCTGAGAGTAAAGAGAAGGTTTCTTTTCTTCTGGTCATAGAAGCAAATCAAAATGAAGTTGCCATAATGAATTCTCTACTCTTAAAATAAACATGTTTGGAGAAGAGTTACCTCAGAGAGATGGCTTTCGGCATACACCTCCACTTCCAGGATGCATGATTAGAATCATTTCCAATTTTTCCCACTTGTGCGAGGAGAAGCCAAGAGATAATATTGAATGCCATTTTAAAAACTGAAGATTTGGATGTATTCTTTATATGATCTCATTTGTCCTCTCATATTTATATGTCTAGTCCTGACGTCACCCAACATTCAGATTCAAAGTCCAACAGTGTGCTTGAGAGTTCTACTGAAAATTTAATAGGTATGCCAAAAGTTAACATCTGGCTGGGTATGATGGTACATGCCTGTAACCCCAGCAACTCAGGAGGCTGAGGCAGGAAGATAGCAAATTCAAGATCAGTCTCATCAATTTATTAAGACCCTTAGCAACTCAGTGAGATTCTGTCTCAAAACAAAAAATAAAAAAATGGACTGAGGATGTAACTTGGTGGTAAAGCACCCCTGAGTTTAATCCCCAGTACCAATACAAAGAAAGAAGCAAAAACCTGCCTCTGTGGGGCAGCTTTCCATCACTATACCAAATGTCTGAGATGAGATACAAACTTATAAAAAGGAAATCTTTGTTTGGCTCACAGTTTTGGAGTTTTCAACCCAGGACTGATTGGCTCTGTTGCTTTGAGCATACGACAGCACACCATGGCAGAAGCACAGGACCGAGCAAAGCACCTCAGCTCATGACCAGGATGTAAGACAGAGAGAAAGAGAGGGGAGAGGGTTGCAGTGCCACTATCCCCTGCAAGGGCATGCCCCAATGACTGAAGAACTCTTAATAGGTTTCACCTTTTAAATGTTTTACTACCTCCCAATAATGACAAGCTAGGGACAAAGCCTTTACATGGGCCTTTGGAGGATGCTTAAGACCCAAGCTACAGTATTACCTCTTCCAACAACCTTTTTTTCCCACAGCCAACTCCCTCACTCAGCAGCCTGGGCAAAAGCACTAGGAATCTCCTTAATTTCATAATTCCTTTATCTTTAATTAGTTCTGAAGGTTAATATTAGTTCTGAAGGTTAATAACAAAAACCAGATAACATGTATCCAAAAATTCTTGTGGTATTTGGAACTACAGAATGAAAGTATCCAATGGTCTTAAGCATGGTTCTGTAGTGCATAAGAAACTTGTCTACTCTCACTTTGCCACTCCACAGTCTCATCTCTATTCAGCAAATGATTTTTAAAAACATATAGTTCAGAACATGCTTTTGCTAAATAAAGCCCTCTAATGGTTTCCTGTTGCTGTCTCTTTCCATAGCTCACAATGCTCTGTGTGACTTGGACTTCACCTTATCCCTGACCTCATTTCATTCAACTCTTCTGCTCACTCTGTGTTTCAAGCAGAGGGCACACCACTGACATGCCAAACTCACACCTCCATGTGGCCCTTCCATCTGCACTAATGTGCCGGATCTTCACATTTGTCTGACTGCTTGTTTTATTTTCTTTGGTCATTTTGGAGTCAACTCAAATGTCACCTCCTTAGATGTCTTCATGATCACCTGATCTGAATCTCCACCTAAACACTCCTATCCATTTCTCCATTGTGTTTTCTTCACAGCCCGATTCACAGTCTGTTTTGTCTTTGTTATTGTTGTTATTGTCCATGTCTAAAAAATAACCTCCAAAAGAATAGGCATTCAGTTTGCTACATTAACTACTGTATCCATAACAGCTAGAAGATTGGTGACCCATAATATATACTTACTAATACTTGTTGAATAAATAAATGAAGGAAGCCCCAGAAATTTGAATGAGTATATACAGAAATTTAGTAATTAATAACATTGTGCCCAAAGTAACATGATGCTGAGCCTTTGTGGAATAATCACCTACTAATGTTTCAAACTACAAAGGGCCTAATAAATCCAGACGGTGGTACGTTGGTGGTCAAAATATGTTGTACTAGCACTGGGAAGTGGGGCCTTGAAGTATTATAATACACAAAACCAAAAATTTTTAAGTTGTGGGTTGAGATGAACTCTTTAGAATAAAAAAGGGCTGAGAATATAGCTCAGCATAGAGCATCTACTTAACATGTACAAGGCCTCGAGTTTGATTCCCAGAACCAAAAAGAAAAGAACAAACAAACAAACAAATAACAACAACAATAACAAAAAAAAAAAACTATGTTTTGGGCTGGGGACATAATTCAGCACCAAGAACAAATAAATAAATAAATATTTATTTAAAGTTTTATATATATATATGTAAAATACATACAATAAATAACATTAAGAATCTAGAGATGGGGCAAAAAAGGCTGACAAGAGAGCAAATATATAGAGTGAACTGTGTGAGTCATTCGAAGTTCTGAAGTGAATGAAAACCAGTGAAGTGGTCAATACACTAAGCAAAAAGAGAAGCCTTTAAGAGAATCTTTACCTGAATTGAATCCAGTTATGGTGAAGGTTGGGGAGAAAATAAGAGTTATTCTCCTGTAATAATAATTTTAAAGCACTGTAAGCATGAGCAAGAGTTCTTTCCCTAAAGGCTTTCCTTTCTTTGTACTGTGAGAAATAACTCTCATAGAAACTGAGATGATAATGCTAATTTGTGAAAAACAAATCCTTCAAAAGAATGTGTACAGTGTGACGACTTTGTGCAGGAAAGGTGAGATTGTGATAAGGTCCAAGGCAGGACTTAAAACGGTGGAGGGCAACTTGTGCTTTAAAGACTTAATACCAACTTGGCATGGTAGTGCACGCCTATAATCCCAGCTACCCGGGAGCCTGAGGCAGGAGAATCATAAGTTTCAGGCCATCCTGGGCAACTTAGACTCTGTCCCAAAATAAAAACTAAAAAGAACTGGAGATGCAGTTCAGTGGTAAAGCACCCCTGAGGTTAAGCTCCAGAACCTAAAAAATTAAAAATTTTTAAAAATTGATACAAAATTTAGGGTTAAAGGCACATGCGATTGATTCTAATTATCCATGGAACATGGCAAATGTTAACCCTGGGTTGCTTCTCATCATCTAGCAGCCAGAATTCAGTGTGTGAATTTGAAATAGAAACTCATTTCATTCTCACACAATATAATTATGAGGTAAATTTTCTGGAAAAAACAATGCATGTAATAGATTTGAAAGTCAAGTGGAAGTGATTTTTAAATTATTTGCTATTTTGGGTTATTCAAAATAACCAAATGTTGATTTTATAGTTATATCATCACATAGTTGAAATGAATAAAAGAATAAATGAATTTATATAAAGTGAAACATTATATTGGGGTGGTAATTGGCTGCAAATAGAAAGGTTGGCTAGTTCAGTGTATAAGCTTTCATCTCTAGTATCTTTATGTTTTAAAATTTAGAAATGTTTGGAGATTGTGTATGTGTGTGTGTATGTGTGTGTGTGTGTGTGTGCATGCGCGTGCATGTATGCAGGTATATTTCAAAAAAACTTGAGCAGAAGGCACCCACTAGATTGCCAAGTCCATGTCTTCATTATTATCATGAGTTTAACTCTTTCCTTTACCACTAAATATATACTAATCAAAATTCCTATGTTAAGTATGCCTAAGCAACCTTAGCCCAGAGAGATCCTGAGTTTTGCTCAAGGTCATTCTTGGTTTAGGGCCTAACAGATGTGGCTCTTAACTCTTAGAGTAATGGTCCCCTAACACAAATATATCTCTGTCTCTATGAGATATTTCAAGCCAATTTAATTACAACTTTATGTAGATTTTTTTTGTCATTCACATAATTAATTTCAGTATATTTTTATTTTTACTATCACTCAAACTTTTTTCACTGTTTTCTAGAATCACATGTTAGAAATAAAGCAAGAAATTTGTGCTGTTTTTCCTAACATGGTATTTGCCATATTTGATAAAAACCGTAATAGTCATAGAATTACTCTTGACTTCTAGACCTATCTTTATCTCTGGATCACATAATTGTGGAATAACCTGTAAACTGAAAAAAATATATGATAAGTTCAGCATCTTGCTGGATGTGGTGGTGCACACCCATAATCCCAGTGCCTCTGGAGGCCAAGGCAGGAGGATCATGAGTTCAAAGTCAGCCTCAGCAAGTTAGTGAGGCTCTAAGCAACTCAGCGAGACCCTGTCTCTAAATTTAAAAAGGGGCAGGGGAGTGGGTACTGCAGATGTGGCTCAGTGGTTAAGCAACCTTGGGATACAACCTCAGTATAAAAAAAGAAAAGTTCAGTATCCTTAAGTTAAAGAGATATTTTAAATATGCTGTAAGAATTTGTTGCTTTTTAATGAATGTTTTGAACCAAGAAATTGTGTCTTCATTTCCTTTAGGAACTCTGGAATGGAGAAGTGACTGTTGACTCCTGATTTCCCTTTGGCAGATGACCAGATAGAATCAGCATTAACAACGTGCAGAAAATGCCAAATGCAGGGAAAATGACAAATGTGCCAGATGATTTAATATCGAGTAAAGATAAAGGTTAACAGAGATGATCTTGTCTTCTTCATTTGCAAAATAAGTTAAAAGTGCTTTTTGCCTTTGCAAAATACAAAGTATGAGGGATTGCACATGGCTATCTCTCAGGTACATTCCACTTGAAAACCAAGATAGTGGTTTTTAGGTATGTTCTATAAAAATATTATACACTACTGGTTACACAGCTATTTGACCAGCATATGTTTAATAGTAAAAGGGAATAGTCAAGCTCAGAATTTGTGGGAAAACCAGATAATGATAATAAATTTTTTCAAATAGGTTGAAGAATAATAATTTTACCTGAGAATGTGTCTGGTATAAGTTCATAATGAGGAGCCAGAGAAAAAAGTCATCCATTCTATGTGTACCTTTTGCCATTAATATCAGTCTTTCTTATTCTTAGCTTTTTACTGAGGGAGTCTGATGGCAGAGAATGGTGGATTAATATGAACCCAGCACCATACTCTCTGGCAGGAATGGACTGAGCAATGCTTCTGTGCTCAATTTTTCCCCTCTTCTGTCTAATCATGTTACCTTTAGGATATTTTTATAGTTTTAAAAATGATAAATACCCAATGCAGAGAAACATGAAGAAAAGATTTAAAAGTCAGCATGATTAAAATCAGATATAGTCATCACATCTCTGAAAATTTATTTACTCAGGCTGCACCTTACTCCTTTCATCCACATTTGAACAGAACATTATGGCATACTAATATGGCCATTCAAATATAACCCCTACTAAGATCTTGGATACTTTTTTCAAAAAGTTATACCAAGTATTCTGCTTCTACTTTTCTTGGCAGGACCAATTTTCTATTTCAGTAAGTACTCTTCTACAACATCCATTAAATGACTATATACTATTCCATTGTATGGATATAGTATAACTTACTTAAACCATTCCTGATAATTGGAGTTCTAAATTGTCTTATTGTGCTATTATTAATAATGCTGGTACATTAAGTTTTATTCTTTGGCATTTGTAGTTTATTTCAAACAAGGATATCAACTAATGAAAGAATGATTAAGAAAGAAGCATATATCCTATTTTTATGAATAAATACATGAATTAGAAGAAAGGGTTATAAAAGTTATGAAAAATGTCCTTTGTCAGCTTGCAACAACTTGGTACAATATTGAATTAATCATTACATTAGTTCTTCCACACTAAAAGAAACTGGTATATTTTTTGAGTCTGTGTTTTGATTCTAGCATGTAATCATAATGTTAGACAAATCAGAACGTTTCGTTTTGTGAAATCTCATTGATATCTGTAAAGTATATTACAGAATCTTCTTAGTAGCTCACTAAATACCAGAAGTATTGAAGTTGAGCTTTGAAATAACGTGAAATAGGCAGAAAGTTATATATCCATATGATCTACTAATAAAAAAGGGAACTATTAGAAACCATATTTTATACCTTTGTATCAAATCTCATATTTAAATATGATATTACAATACTTATTTTAAAAGTATGAGTTATCGGGAAGCATGTGGAAAATCTAACAGGAAAAGGAATAGAGATGGCTCAACTACAATACCTGTTAATGGAGCAAGATATGAGGATGTGATAGGCTTCTGTTCAAATATGGGTGGAGGGAGTAAGGGGCAGCCTGAATAAATAAATTTTCTAAGATATGATGCAAACACTGGTAAACTGATTTTAATCATGGAAAAACTTAATTTGCTAATTAGTTTCTTTCTAATGAGTTTATTGTATGTAAAACTATGTACTGTGCTATTTTTTTCTACCCCAGAAAAACAAGGCCTCTCAAATTAATATACACATCCAAACCAAGGAGATGTTTTGTTGCGATGTGTTAGGAAAGGAAATATTATTCCATTCCCTTGGAATTAATTTTGGACTCACAGCTGTACTAAATTCCATTTTGCTTTCTCCAAACTTAAAACAAATTCCATGAATATTAGGACTCAGAACACAAAGTCTTTTGAAAACGCGTATAAAGCAGCTGTTTACACATCTCTTTTCTGTTTCATTGCTAAGCTGCTCATGAGTATTTACAGATTCAGGAGTGCAGAGAATTCTCCAGAGCCACATCCAGCACACTGTGTGGCACAATATTAAAGAGGAGTATGTATTGTTCTCAAGATGAGATTCTTTAAGGCTGATGCATATTTTAATGATCTGATAATAAATACTAAAATGAAGCTCTATATTATCACCTCTTTCAACATTTTTTTTGGATTGTAGAGATCACACAAACATATTGTGCATTTTGAGATTAGCATGACCAGTGGATAATGATGCTGGCAACACTACTATGTGAAAGATATGAAAAAAATATTTCTGTTGCATTCACTTTCCATTTGGAAATACAACACTGCCATCAATTTTAAGATGCTCTATTCTTTGTTGCCAGAATACATTCCCACAAGTAGCCAATGCTTAAAACACTGAAGCACCACATCAATATATGTGTGTCCATGTGTGTATACATATATATTTCATTGTTTAAGTTCACACTGAGTTTGCAAAGGATTTTGAATGTATTTCCCATCAGTCTTCTTGTTTTCTAATTATATAAGCAGAACTGCAAATAATGCCCCAAAATATAAGCTATAAAGTCTGAAACTATTTCTACATCTTAATAATATCATCATTTAACACAAAATAAGTGTTCTTCATTCTCTAGTCCCTAAGAGTCACAGAACTATTACTTCTCAGAATATATCTGCGGAAAGCAAAAGAGGTAATTTTTAGAAGTATTCCAAAACTATAATGACATAATTGGAGGGACTTTATAAAAAATGATAAGGAACTTAATTTCTACAAAGTAAACCTCTTGGATTCTCATTAAACTGGAGTGCACATAGATTTAAAAATGAGTAAATGGGTCAATGATTATGATAGTTACGCAGTTTATTACTGCCAACCTGGAGTCAGATAGCCTGCCCATGAGATCTAAGTGGAGAAGAAGGGAAAAAGGGGATTATATATGTTGATTATTCATGTTTTGGTCTAACCTAGATGTCTCCACCTTTCATCTTGGTTTATCCTCACAGCTATAAGGCAGATATGTGTTCCGTTTAAAAACCGTGCAAATGGAGAATCAGTGGTTTGATGGAATTTGTTCCTAAGTGAATGACCATCTGATTTTCTGGAAAGATCCATCCTTTGTCCATTACAATCACATTCTTTGGCTCCATCTCTTGAACTTCTTACATATAAGTTTTCTCATATTTGGAAGAGGAATAAGAATATCATGCTATCTGTCTCCCAAGGATTTTAAGGAATCAAATATAATGAAAAAAAACTTTGAAATAGGTGTTTGGAAGTGTTTCATTGAATCAAATGAGTGATTCTGGCCATTCTTTGAAGTGTTGAGTGATCTATGAAAATCATTTAAAACTCTCTAGACCTCAGATTCCCCATATGTAAAATGGAGAAAAATAATAATAGTGGAGATAAGATTCTGAGGCCGAGTAAACATTTCTGAATTTTAAAGTGTTATGCAAATATGAAGATTAAAAGATTAGGAAATTGCCTAACAAATGTGCCTAGATAGCAATCATTGGATGACTAAAGAAAAGGTACAATTTTTCTCATTTCTCATTTTTTAATTCAGTAAAAGAGTTAACCTCAGTGGTAGGGATTCATGCTTTTCTATGGAGTTCAACCAAGTTGCTTTTGTCTTGATATAAAAAATTATAATCTATTAGCAGTTCTGTTTATAATTATATACACATTCATATATATATATATTTTTTTCTTCCCAAGATTGAAAACTGTGCTTACATCTGTTCTGTGGTTTCTCTGAGTGGTGTGTGGCACTCACGTCCTCAGCTCTCACCTCTGCTCTGCTGGTTTTGAAATTGTTGTATGGCTTTTGTTGTTGTTGCTCCCATAAAGAACCTAAACTGTTTCCTTCAAGGTGATCAAAAATTCCTTGCTGCTAAATTCAGCAGATTCCTTTAGGCTTTATTTTACTTGATCACCTTAGTGGCATTTGACAAATTGGAGCATTCCTCCTCATTGACGTGTTTTCTTAGCATGGAGTTTATAGCATTGCACTTTTCTGATTTTCCTTTGCATTTAAAGAATTTTCCTCTGGGTTCTTTAGCTGCAGTCACTGTTCCCTCGAGTTATATGCTGGGCATTTTTCCTACTCTACATTCACTGCCCAGGCAATCTCATGCACTCAGGCTTTTACTTATGATCTATATGTTGGTTATTCTCAAATCTCTTCTCCAGGCTAGGCCACTCTCCAGAGTTTCTACTTGAATATTTAGCTGTCTTCTTGAGAAAAATAGGTGGATGCTCACAGACAGTTTAAACAGAACATGTCCAAAATTGAGCCTATCATGTTTCCCCTCCCCAGCTACTCCTCCTGTTGTGTTCCTGGCTTAACAGATGGGCCATGTGAAAGTTAAATTTCAATGCAGGAAAAAGACACCAGTCTAAATGTCTTAAGCAGAGGAATATAATTTACCTCTGCATATTGTTCTGCCTGAGGTCCTTCCCCCTGCACCAGCCCCTGCCACCCTGCCATCTTTGTTCACTTAATTGCTACTTAATCTAAGTTTACAATTTAGATGTAAACCAGTCCTGGAAATTTTCTCTGATCCTCAAAGTCTGGATAAATTGTCCTTTGCATGTATTTTGTAAAATAATAAATAAATAAATAAATGAGCAAGAAAAAAATATATAAAAAAATCATCCATAGATACTTTTCTACCCCAAACGACATCCCTTGGTATTGTAATTATAAGTGTGTATGTGTCCTTTGCTATAAAATTCATCTCTGGCCAAGTCTGTTATGCTTGTCTTTGCATCGACAACCTCTAATACAATGGCTGGCATGAGTCATTTTATAACTGTGCTCTTTCTGAAGGAACTGCATCCCTCACCTTCTCAGTGGCACATGTGTTTTGCAGTTTCCCTGACTCACCTAGGTGTGATTTGCAACATCATGCCTCCCCAAGGTACAATGTATTCTTTTCTTCTTCAAGATCTCTGCTGTTCTTGGGGATTATTTGTTTGCAAGTAACAGAAACTCGTTCAACTATTTCTAGTGAAAATGGAGGCTTTATTATATACATACAAGCAGGTTTACTCAGATACAGCCATAGCATTAGCTAGAATCTTGAAATATTCCCATAATAATTGATAAGTAGCCACTGCCTGAGTTCCCACAATGGCCAACCCAGTCACTATAGCTACTCCCTTTGGACTCCTCCATACAAACTGGAACTAAATACCAGGGGGTTCCAAAGCACCTGCTCCAGCACCATGGATAGTGGTTATGGGGACCTAGAATATGAAAAATCTCCATCATTCAAGACTACACGTTTCCTGGTTTCCTCTTTTCTCACAATAATATTTATGCATTCTATTCTTTGTACACAGCCTTTTCTGCATATTTTAAGCATATAAGGACAGATGTAGCTACCCCAACTCCCTGTTCCTTCCTAGCACCAACAGAGATGTTTTAGCGTCTGTGATTGATGATTTAAATTCCTGGGAGAAAAAAAAAAAAGTCTGCCTTAGCATGGATGCCTAATTACCAGTGATCAGAGAGCTGAGTCACTGCAGAAATTATTGTATATGTCTAACGCCATACCTAGAATGAAAAGTTCCCAGAGAACGGGGCATGGGCTAAGAATACACAACACAAAGTTTCTTTACAGTTTCCTGACCTCTGCCCCAGCTCCTGCCACACAGGCTAAACCACTTTTTTGCACTCACATATGGACACCCACACGCACATATAAATACACACAGACACGCACACACATATTTTCAATGGACTGTAAGCAGCTTGAGGCAGAAGCTATGATTTATATTTTTATATTCCTAATGCTTAGGACAGCACCTAACACAAACAGATGCTCAGTAAAATTCATTAAATTCATAAATGAGAAGGAAAGAAGGGAAAAGAAACTAGAAACAATAATAATCTATTGTTTATTATTTTGTCATCTATCTTCCAAGAAGCAAGGAAACAGATTTTCCCCTAGATCCTCCAAAAGATGGCATCTTGTAGACCCATTTTGAACTTCTGACTTCCAGGGCTCTATGATAATAAATTTGTATGGTTTTAAGCCACTAAATGTGTGGTAATTTGTTACAGCAATAATGAGAAACATATTTAGATAATATGGAAGAATACATTCCCCTTTTTGGATATTTCATTATGTTTATTTTCTGGCTCTAAGAAATCCTGATTTAATCTTCCTCCCATGCTCTCCCTCCCTACCCCACTTTGAGTCACCCCCCTTATATCAGAGAAAACATTCGGCATTTGTTTTTTTGGGATTGGCTAACTTCTAGATAGAGAAGAAGGGTGGGAGGGAAAGGGAGGGGGAAGGTATTAGCAAGGATGGTGAACTGTAATGGTCATCATTATACAAAATATATGTATGAAGATTTGAAGTTGGTGTCAACATACCTTATATACAAACAGAGATATGAAAGATTGTGGTATATATGTGTATTAAGAATTGTAATGCAAAAAAAAAGAGTATATGTATAATGGCATAATTTGGTGTGAACATACTTTATATACAGAGATACAAAAACTTGTGCTGTAAATGGGTAATAATGAGTGTAATGCATTCCACTATTGTCATGTATGTAAAAAAAAGAAAAAAGAAATAGTGATAGAAAAAGCTATAAAAAGAAAGCTGTTTACACCCGTATAACAGAGAACTTTCCAAAGATGTTCTTAGTAGACACCTGTTTGGGTTGGCCAGCACTAATTCTGCTACCTATATCACGGAAATGACACCTACCCTCTCTTGCTGTATATAATTGGCATGAGATTTATGTCAATAGCCATATTAACTATTCCAGGAAGGGCATCTGACCCACTCATAAAGAATGGAAATCAGACTAGGAAGTTTTCCAGAATTTATTAGGAAATACGTTCCAACAATAGGAAGTAGATTGGACTTGCTAGGACCACACGACTTGTAAAAAGAGACAACAAGGAAGCAGAATGTAAAAGTAAAAAGTACCAGCTATTATTAGTCTTCTGTTGCCTCTATAGCAAATCATCACAAACTTTAACAGAATCAAATTTAAAACAAACCAAATTTAAAACTGGATGTGGTGGCACACACTTGTAAACCCAGCAACTCTGTAGGTGGAGACAAGAGGATTGCTGAGGCCAGCCTCAGCAACTTAGCAAGACCCTGTCTCAAAATAA